CTTTCTTTCTTTCTTTCTTTCTTTCTTCTTTCTTGAGACAGGGGCTCACTATGTAGGCTGTCCTGAGACTCATGGGAACCCTCCTGCCTCAGCCTCTGGAGCAGGGATTACAGGAGCATACCACCACCAGGTCCAGATTAGAATCTATCTCCCAGCGATGTTGACATCCAAGTGACACTCTTAGGAGCTGTGGTCACACGCTGTGCAGCAGATGGCCGGTGTGGATAGGGCCTTAATTCTGCTTCCCACACCCACCAGTGGGCAGTTCACTTTTGCTGGCCTGGTGAGGAGAAAGCCCCCACCCAGGCCCAGCAGGCCCCTGAGCGGCGCTGCGCCGGTCCGTCGAGGCTCTCTTTCTTGCTGCGGGCCTTCTGATGTGGCCATTTCGAAGCACAGGATGTCCTCACACAGCTATTTTTGACGCTATTGGAAAATTTCTGACTTTAGAAAACCACCAACCACAGAATTCAGCTTTTGCAAAAAGGATCAAGTATTGATGTACCCCCGGGTCAGGGTCAGGGTCAGGGTCAGGACGAGGACGACACCGCACGGGAGAAAGAGGACAGGGCGGGGCTGAGGCGTGGGAAACACTCCACAGTGACGTTTCTTGTCTATGGAATAGTCTTATTTGTAGGATCACAAAACATCCCCAAGTTAAAACAGACTAGAAAGATTGATCAAGAGAACAGAAGAGAAAACGCAGACGTGGACGCTGACATCCAGCTGGCCTATGAGAAAGATGCAAAAGCGGCACAATGGGGCGAAGACAGTTTCTTCAAGAAATGTTGCTGAACCTTGGTTTTGTCTTGTTTTGTTTTGTCTTTTTGAGACAGGGTCTCACTGCACAGTGCAGACTGGCCTTGAGCTTGCTTTGTAGCCCAGGCTGTTCTTGATCCTCCTGCCTCAGCCTCCTGAGTGCTGGGATTACAGGTGTGCACCACCACACCTGGCTGCTGGCACCACGGGATGTCCACATGCAAAAATAAATGTAAAAACAGACCTTTGCTCTTCCTGAAAACCAGCCCACAGCAGACCACAGACCTAAGTATCAGACACAAAACTGCAGTGTAGGAAGAAGCCTAGAGAACCTGGTGTCTGCTGACAAGGTCTTCGATTCAACACCAAAAGCATCACCTGTGAGAGATGAGCGGGAAGCTGGGCCTCAGGAAACATTACGCTCCTTCTCTATGAAAGACGCTGTCAGGAGGGTGAGGAGAGAAAGCGCTGGACTGGTGACCACAAGAATGCGAACCCGAAGGCCTGTCACCAACATCCACCCAGAGCTCTTAAAACTTGACAACACGGAAATGAATGCCTTGCTTCAAAAATGGGCAAGAGGCCTGGATGGCTCCATGAGGGAGAGAGGTGGATGGCAAACAGGCATTGGAAAAGGGCTCGACACCCTACCTCACTGGGGCAGCGCACTCTAAAACATGCCCGGGACATGCTGGCACGGATGCTAGAGTACCCTGAACCTGGGACACATGGCACTGGGCCTGGGGATGCGGAGCACGGGCTCATTTGGCGCTGATGGGACGCTGAGTGGGCTGCTGTGGGAGGCCAGAGCTCAGCGCACTCTCTCACAGAACTCTTCCTGTCCCACCCTGCAGGGATCCTGGTGCCCACCCCGGAACCGGAAGCTCACGGCCATGCAAAAGCCGGTGCAGGGACGTGTATTGCAGCTTAGCTCATTGTTTATAGCCTTGGGGGCAAGCAGGATGTCCTGCGGTAGGCGGACGGACAACGGGACATGGTCAGCACTACAGGGAGCTGAGCTGCTGTCCTTGAGACCCCAGGGACACTTCAGTGCTGGTTACGGACGCAAGCGTAGCCCAGCCCGAGCAGCTGTGCGCGCGTGATTCCAGCTCTGATGTTTCGGGAAGGGAAATGCTAGGGAGGTGGTGAAAGGGTCAGCAGGTGCCACAGGGCAGGGTGGGGAGCGCAGGGACCTTCAGCACCGGTGCTACCTGCCATAAGGCAGCTACACGTCATCAGCGATTTGCCCAAGCCCACAGAAAGCTCAGTACCATGCGTGGGCCCTAAGATGAGCCACGGCTCTGGGGTGAAAACAGTCGCTGTGGCTCACCAACTTACGGTTGCCAGGGAGGAAGCTGCTGGTGTTGGGCTGGGAGCCCGGGGGAACTTTCTGGACTGTCCATGTGACCTGCCTGTAATCTGAAACTGTTCTGAAAAAAAGTCATTTATTTGCTAGAAAAGACTGTCAGCTCAGCTTGCTGCAGGCAGCACCATGGTCACTGAGGAGCGCTCCCAGGGCGGGGACTGGGTGCCCACCACCCAAGCCCATGGGGACACAGCGCTCTGAGCTCACCTGGATGCCTCCCCACAGGCAGAAGTCCAGGGCAGGGATGGTGTGGGTGGAGCCCCCGTGGCTCTTGCAGCGGTCCTGCCCTTGGACAGCGCAGCCAGCTCAGGGGCTCTGATTCAGACTCTTCTCAGGCTGAGAGTGAGTGAGCTTGAGGTCCTGCAGCTGTTTCAGATGCACCAACCCGTGACCTTTCTAAAACGGAAATTGGGCGCCATCACCCCCTCCAAACCCCTTCAGAATTTCCCATGGGTGAGCTCCACTGGCCTGGCCTTGGTCCCAGTGCGACCTGCCCTCTGGGGCCCTCTGCTTTCTGGCAGCCTTGCCCACCTCTCTGGGGCCACTGTTTTCCCCTTTGTGTCCCTGGCATGGTCAGCTCATTCATGTGTCAGGAACGCTCCTCCAGCACGACCACTTACAGGGTTGTCTTGTCATTCAGGTCTGAAAGGTCACCACTTAGGGACCCTCCCCAGTCCACCCAAAGTGAGGGCCCTGTCCCTCCCTCAGCTCCCTGAAGCACACTGCTGTTACCTGCCTTGCTGCCTGCTGTATCCACTTGTAGCTCAGGTGAAGTCCCCCAGGGAGGTGGAGCACAGGAGCAGAGAGGACTGCGACCACGCGTGGAGAACCCAAGGTCGTGGCTCCTACTGCTGGCCTTGAGGCGCATGCCTTGCAGGGGATGGGGTGACCTTCACTTTCTTTCAATAGCTCCAGCTCTGCGACAGCCTGGCAGCCACAACTGTGCCCTTGATCTGCCCCTCTAGCGACCTGCCAGCACCTCACTCTGACGCTCCAGACGCCTTCAGGCAGCCTCCTGCTTCCAGGGTCGAGCCCAGCACACTTGCTGAGCAACAATGCCTGTTGCAAGTGCCCTATCTGGCAAAGGTGTTCGTGTCTTTCTGAGGCCTCCAAAGTGTCATCCATCGCTTGGCAGTTCTGGGGACGCCTGGCCACATGTCTCCCCAACCCCAACCCAACTCTTCTTTTTTTTTTTTTTTTATGTATTTCATACAGGGTCTCACTATGCAGCTTGGACTCATAGCGAGCCTCCTGCTTTCAGGCTCCCTGGCCTTGGCATTACAGGCATGTGCCACCACACCTGGATGTGGGCCAGCTCCGCGCATCTAGGGCGGGGCTGGCACGGCATGTGGTGCTGGGGATTGCACCCTGGTCCCTGTGCTTGCCTAAGCAGGCACTTAGTCTGATGAACTATCTAGCCAGCCCTCCCACCCCTTCTGTTCTTTCAGATGCTGCATTTGAGGACAGAGCCTGTCTCTGTCTCTGTCTCTGTCTCTCTATGATTGCCCTCCTAATTGATATCTCACCTGCAATGACTATTCCAGTTACAGAAAGGCTTCTTTTCTCCTCCTTGTCCTGGCCCGTTTTCCACTGCTAACCACCAAACATGAGGAATTTGAAGAACCTACAGGTGTTCTAGAGAAGCCAGCAGAGCTTCGCCCTGGCTTTGATCTTCCTGGAAGGTATCTGCTCCCCTCTGTCCCCTCCACCCCATGGCAGAAGAACACTTGAGTCCCCGGAGCTGCCCCTGGCCGGAGCAGTGACCATGGGAGCCATTCTAGCCCCGTGTGGCCCCTGGTAAGGCCATGACCACACTGGCCAATTGCATTTGGTGTAAGCCAACAAGATTAAATGACTCTTCAGAGGTCACTCTCCCAGCCACACTCCTGCAGACACGTGCCCTAGCCGTACTGTGCGCGGCCGTGCAGGGAGCAGTTGCCCGCAGGGCCTTTGCCCCTCGGCCGAAAGCGTCACTCTCGATTCTTAGGGTTTATATCAGGCTCGGAGCTTTCTATTAATGTACCCAAAAGGTGTTTCACAGAATGTGCTGCTCGCTACACCTCTAGGCACTCTCTGGCCCTCCAGGATCGGGGGAAAGGAGTCCCTGCGTATTTGTGCGTGGCATTCGTGCCTTGTGCCACCTGTGTCTAGAACTCTGGGTCCAAACTACTCTGAATGGCCTTATGGTGCCTCAACTTTCCAAGTAGGACTGAGAAATGGGTTCGTAACAAAAAGAGAAAGATAGCACCTTCCCCTTCCAAAGCTCATGTGTGCTTTTCCATCCTGACTTGCCCAGTGTGAAGGGCAGACAAAGGGAGGTGGGGACCAGATCAGAGCCTGGTTCCAAACAGGGAGAACCTGGCAATTAGGGCTGGAGCAAAAACAACTTCCTGTGTTCCAGAGACCTGTTAGACACTTGATACACGGAACAAGGAGGGTGACCCAGACCAGGCTGCCCTGGGCCTCTCTGTGCAGCCAGCCTGGGTCCGTCTTGGTCATAGGTGACAGAGGCTGTGGCTGCAGCTTGTGTCCCACCATGGTCCCTGAGTTCTGGCTGCCAGGAGAGACCAGAAAGACAATAAGACAGGGATTTCCCCCCAACTAGGTGACAACAAAAGGCATTTGGTTTTGGGCTCTGCCCCGGGGCTGCTTGAGAACCTGGACGTCCTCTCTGGGGTGTCCTCAGTGTTTCCTGCCTCCCCAGCCTTGCGAGAGGACCTAGAGGATGAGGGTGACAGCTGCGTCACCAGCCTCAGCTCCCTGAGTCCACGTGATGGGGGCTATCTGGGTGCCTGCTGCTGGGGGCACTTCACTCCTCCTCCCTTCCCCAGCTCCCTCTCTGTCACCATCTCTGTCGCCTCCCGTCTCCCAGCCTCCACCCAGGCATCTACGTGAAGCCACACGTCTACCTGCAAGGCTCTACCCGGAGAAGAGGCAGCGGCTTGGAGAAAGGTAGAACGCAGCATAAACTCCTCTCTCCAGATTCCCTCTGGGGCCGTCAGATACAGGGAGGAGCCATTTGCCACCTGCACAGCGCAGCTGGGCAGCCAGGGCGAGAGCGTCTCCCCACTGTTGCCAGCCTGGGGCCGATTCTTGGCTAGGTCCTGAGGCCCACGCTATTTCTGCTCAGCACCACGGGGTGGGGCCAGGAATTCTCCGCTCACTTACTTTCTCGCACCCGTCCCTGTAGGCCAGTGAATGAATGAGTCACTGCTTTCCTTCTTACTGCCTGGTCTCTGCCTGTCACCGGGCTGCTGTTTGGCCTTTTCCCTTTAGGACTGGACCTAGTGCCGGTGCATGTCTGGCACCTGTCCTTGTGCTCAGACTGCGGCGGATGGACCGTCTGGGTGTGCAGGACCCGAGCTGGTGGGCCTGAAGCGCGCAGGCTGGGGACTCCCCTGAAATGCAGAAATTAGTCTCCGTTAGAGTTTGGCTGTGACACCCCCCCCCCCAGAAGACAGAATAAAGAGCTGCTTGTTGTAAGATGGCAGAGTCTTTGTGCTCCAGAGTTGAAGGCCCCACTGTGAGTGACAGGAGATGGGAGATGGGGGGCCTCGGCAAAAGTTAAGTATTTGTGTGCTCTGCCTTTTTTCAAATTTCCACCGAGCCACCTACAATTAGCAGAGGCATCCCCAGTCATGTGCAGGCATACAAGGCAGAAGAGCCTTTGTGCATTTGTCCCCAATGTCAAGGTGCCCAGGGACCTCCAGGACACTGGGGTCCCAGCTGCGCATCCCACAGGTGATTTTCGGGGGCAATGCCATCAACAGAACCTTCAGCTGCGGCAATGGAAATGCAGTCTGTGACAGCCACCGGCTGTGTGTGGCTCCTGTCCCTGAGGAGGCAGCTAATACTTCAATTAGGCCACATTTGGGTGGGCACGTGAGCGGGTGGCTGTGGGGGAGATAGCTCAGTGCTTTGGTTCTGCCACTTAAGGCCCCAAGGGACACTTTGGAAGGGCAGAGCTGGGGTGGCACCTCCTGCAGGGACGCACGCCCTGAAGCCCTGCACACACGTGCTCTGGCAAGCCAGCCCTGGCGAGTTCTCTCCACGGGGCCCCCATTTCCCCTTTCCCTGAAGCAGGTGCCATCTGGAGAGCTGATTCGCTCTGGCACTTCGCAGATGGTTTCCCCTGACCCCGGGGGCCTCAGCTTTGAGTCTCTGGGTGCAAAAGACCAAGGGCGCTGGTGGCTGGAGCTTGGTGGCTGCTCCCTGCCCCCACCGCTGGTGTAGGCAGGAGTGGCCTGGCTTCTTTCTGGTCTTCATCGGGGAGCTGCGGCTCACAGCGCACGGTGCACAGAGGGCCTCGGAGCTCTGAGCAGCTGCCCTACTCCTCCAGGTGCCAGAGCCTCCCTCTTCCAACCCTCACGGTGAGTCGTGCCCTGCCTCTCCTTGGCCCTGTCCCCTTGTCCCCACATCCTTGGCTGAGTGTTCCCACAGTGGCTTCTGAATCCCAGACTTCCACTTGTCAACACTCCAGGGCTCATGGCTCCTGGCTCCTTGCTAGAGGCTTCCAGGGAGCCAGGGTGACTGTGCTGCTGGTCCAGGACGCTGGTAGGGTGACTAATAAAACTCTGTCACCCACACACATGAGTGAGTGTGGGCCTGAGGTAGCTTGTGAACCTCACCTCAAAGGCAGGAGAAGCAGATTCTGGGGACGGTGGCAGGAGGGAGTCGCGGGCTGGGAAGACAGAGCCTGTGAGGTCCTTGGGTCTGCGGCACAGCCTCAGCGAAAGGAGGCTTCGTAGCAGTAAGAATTGCTAACAAACAAGTCAGGCTCAGAGGTGCGCGGCCGAAGGGATGGCGGCCCAGGCCAGGGCAGGGGCAGGGCAGCTCTGGGGTCCTGGGGTCTGCAAGCGATGAACTGGGAAGCCCGACAGAAAGTGGTACGCGCAGTCTGAGCTCCTTTCCACAAAGTGTGCGCGTGCGCGTGCGCGTGCGCGTGCGTGTGCGTGTGTGTGGTTGGGTACAGAGAAGATGTCAGAAATGATGTGTCCCCGAATGTTCAAGGTGGCTAAGCCAGGAGAGGTTGTTACTCTCCCTCTAGTGTATGTTTCACTGTTTAGATTTCTAATACTTTGTGAAAAATACTCCTTTGTGATCAGGAGAAACACCTATTTTCAGTGAGTCCTCACTGGAGGTCCCTTTGTCTTTCGCACTCGCCCACCTTCAGTGGTTCTGAATTCGCCTGCTGTGCTGAGGAGTCTGGGAGGGAGGGACCTCCGACTGGCCACAGGCGGGGAGCCCAGCGCTGCCCCCTTTTCCTCCCAGCCTCTGTCCACCTGCTTTTGAGCTGGCTTGCACTGGAGCCCCCAGAGCCCCCTGGGCAGGGAGTGAGCAGTGAGCGCAACCCAGGCGCAGAGAGGCGGGCACTGCAGAAAATGCTGGGCATGATTCCTCTTTCAAGTGACAATTGGCCCAAGAGCAGAGCGAGCGTCACCCTCCTGCCTTGAGTTGGCCTGGGTTTGGGGATGGGGAGCAGCAGATGCTGTGGACCCAGGAGGGCCCAGGGTGCGCAGGGGCTTCGGGCATCTGTGTGGCAGGAGGGGCTGTGAGACCGGCTGGGCAGTGTGGGCTCCAGGCTCCCCTCCCGCTGCCTCTCACCTTGGGGATCGGCTATTCCTCCTCTCCTTGCCCACTGCGAGCACACCCAGCTTTCCAGCCTCCAGGAACTGGGCAGCTCTCCCTGCCTTGGGACAATGTTCCCTCCCTTCCTCACCCTTCCCCCTGCTCTTCAGCCTGGCAGGCTCAGCCTAATGTCACCTCCCTGGGAAGCCCTCCTGCAGGTCGCCTGCCCTTCCCAGCCCCGGCCTCTCCCAGCACTGTCCATCTTGGGGTTTGCAGCTGTAACCTACCAGGCTGCCTGGGTGCTTCTGGCACAGGGAGAAGGGGGCCACGGCTGCAGATGGCCCTTGTTGCCCCCCTGCTCCCCTGTGCTCTGCAGACATTCCCATCCAGCACTGCCAGCAGGAAGGCGGGGTTTTGACTTCCAGTCAGTCCCTGTGCTGCAGGCCCAGCCCAGGCCACACTGCACTCAGCAGCCGGGGGCTCGCCCAGGTGGACGGTGACAGGCGCCTTATTTTCAGGTTTCTTTTAATGTGGGATTTCCATCCTCCTCAGGGACAAGGAGAAAATGAAAGCAAGGCTCTGGTGGGATGACAGGCTAGGGAGGTATTCCAACCAAAATGAAAACAAGACGAACTTCAACTGCCCGGCTGTCTGCAGGGCCTCCCGATGTTGGGGTTAGGAAGGGCTGTGGGCCCAGATTTTCCAAGCCAAAGCACATGTACCTTGCCGAGGAGGTGAACCTGCATGCAGGGCTAGCCCGGGAGGACAAAGCTGCCCAAAGGAGCTTCCTCGAGCCGACTGCTAGCTTTTCTTTTCTGGCGCTGGCTTCCTTCGGCAGAGGGACCGGCTACAAGTTCCTCTTTTGTACGAGTTTGTTAAACAGGTGTAGGGAGCGGAAGAGCCCTGGGCTCCTTCCCCCCCTTCCCCTCCTCTGCTCCTTCTCTTTCCCTTCCCCTTCTCCTTCTTCGTCTGAAGTTGGTTTTGCGGTAGCTCTTACAATAATACTTCACTCCCAGGAAAATATTTAAGCAGTTTGCCAAATCTAAGGAAAGATGGAAGTTTCCTTTTCCACCAGTCGCTAGGCTTCAGGCTCCTTCCAGAGGAGCAGAAAGTGCGCACTCTTCTTCCGTATGCATTAAAAAAAGGGTACGCAAGAGAGTCTTCCACACCTTTCATTTTAATCGAGTAATTCTGGTGACCTCTTTTCCATCCCCTTCAGGCTGTCTTCCTCTTTCATTGGCTACCTGTGGTTTACTGAATGGATGTGGCTGCTGCTGGTTATTTCCACTTTCTTTTTGCTCTGCAAGAAAACGTTCAGTGATGTGCATGTGTAGTGGATTCCCTGAGGGCGGCCGCTGAGCCAGAGGTGCTGAGCCCTCAAGTGCTGCCCGGTGGCTTCGCCCTCCAGCCGGCTTGAGTCCGCCTGCACACGTCAGGACCTCACTGCCGTCCCCAACCTCAGGCTTGCTGATGCCACTCTTCCTCCCTTGGAAAATTTTCTCAGGTTTCCTCTGATTAGTGTGTAGCCTCCAACTTGTGTCTCAAAAACTAGTCTCCCTGAACTGCAATGAAATTAAGTTTGCTGACCTGAGGTCTTATAAATTCAGCTGGGTGTTTTTCATCTCTGGGGAAGAAAAAGCAATTCTTGGTCCAGCGTGCTGCTTTTCCCTTTTCTGGTTGGAGTTCTGATCACGACACAGGTTTTTGAGACTTCTTAGTGGTGATCCAAGCCACACTGGCAGATGACTAGCACCCCAAAGCTCTGAAAACCC